AAAAAAAATTCTCCCCTATATTATTTATAAGATTTAAAATATGCATGTCTACACGGCCGATCTAGATGCTTATAAACACCCTTGGTGATAAGGTGCTCTTAGTCAGCTCTGGCACTGTGCCTCAAAGGGGAGGGGTCATCTGGGGGGAGATGTTTCTGGGGCATTGGACAGTTAGAGAAACAAGTGTTCGTGAGCTCCTGCAGCAGGGATTTCTAACCTTCCCAATGCCGAGACCTCACGTGGAGGTGACCCCCGACCATAAAATTATTTTCGTTGCTACTTCATCACTAAGTTTGATACCGTCCATAGCTGATAGGCAGGATGTATTTTCATTGTTACAAATTGAACATAACTACAGCATAGTGATTAATCACAACACAATGCAATTATGTAGTGTGAAATGTGTGTTTTCTGATGGCGTAGGCAACCCCTGTGGAAGGGTTATTCGACTCCCAAAGGGATCTTGACCCACGGGTTAAGAACAGCTTTTCTACAGAGAATGCTTGGCCGTTAGGAGTGTTTTCCGGTCGAGTCTGATGGGACACCAAGCCCTGACCCCAATGTCTATTTTTGGTGTTCCCTGGGGACTTCGTTGCTTTGTTCCCCTTGCTGTTCTGTTCCACGTCCTTAGTGTTTTGCCTCAGTGTGGTGGGGTCAGATCGGGTGCAATTCCCACACTGTGTCTCCAGTGTTGTCCCCTGTAGGGCTATGGGTCAGTGAGGGACGTTGTGTCTCATAGTGGGGCCGGCCATATGGTCTTCTCCGTGCATTGGCTGCTCTGAGCGGGAATCTCATCCTCAAGGCTTGGTGGGCCAGGATGTGCTCCACTCGCTCTTCCTCCCCTTCATTTGCTCCCATGTGCTTTGATCAGACATGTCCCTCTCCCTGAGCTGCAAATTCAGTGCTGTCCTCTGAAGTAAATTCTCCTGGGAGGAGGGGCAGGTGTCCACATAGTTGGGATTGGGGTCCAGGCTCTTAACATCACAATGAAACCTCTTTTTTTTTTGCCTTAATATTAATTTTCTTTTTTTTTTAATTTATTTTTTTAAAAAACATTTTATTAGGGGCTCATACAACTGTTATCGCAATCCATACACACATCACACAATTAAACCTCTTGACCAGCACTTATAGCTGAATCCTATCAGCAATTCTGTTCACCTTTTCTTATTTAGACCCATCATGAAATAATATTTCGGCTTTAAGGCCGAGTTATATCAATAAAACACCGTACCACATCAAGGCCTTAATGGATTGATGGTTCTCCATATGACCCTTAATCCTACTACAAATGATTAGTCTAGTACATCATGTCACATTATGACCCTCTACAGTCCTCCGGACTAAAAGATCCCACTGGAATAGTATCAGTTTCTTATTAGATTTATAATCTGTAAAGTCCTCTTCAGACTCACGCGACACCTCCAATGACGCCAC